TGCGTGCGTGTGTGCGTGTGTGTGTGTGTGTGTGTGTGTGTGTGTGTGTGTGTGTGTGTGTGTGTGTGTGTGTGTGCCCATCAGTGGTTCGTTCTCCCGTGCACGTGCGCATGCACGTGTATGCACATAGTTGCGTGCGTTGGGTTTGTCTGATGTGCGTGGGCATGCATGAATTGTGCTTGCGGGCGCGACAGCACAAGGATGCAGGCTTACGAATGAGGAAAGGGCTTGCTTGTTGCAAGGTGTGCTTGAGGTTTGCAACCCTGGGCATCCAATCAGCATTCAGCATGCGCAACCAGCGAAGACGCAGCGGGCCACCAATCCTATGTTCAAAGGCGGAAATTCCTCCTTCCTTAAAAGGGCACGTATCTCTCCACTGCAGTATCGCCGCAGGAGCGGGCTATTGCTCGTGCAAGGCAAGAGCAGAGGGAGGAGCAGGAGCGCGAGGCTGCCGCAGAGAGGGGTGAAGACGCCAACGGCGGTGGCCGTGGCCGCGGCGGCTGGCGAGGGCGCGGTCGTGGCCGCTTTGGAGGCGGCCGGGGACGCAGTGGTGACAATCGTGGCCGCAATAGCGAAGGCAGGGGCGAAGGCAGGGGTGTTCAGCCCAGCCAGGAGCATCAGGGGCCTGAGGGCAGCGCCAGCGGCCAGCAAGAGCAGGGCCGACGAGCGGAGGCAGGGCCGGAGGGTCTATGGGCACCGCCAAGCAACCGCTACGAGCAGCGCTTCGACCGCCCTTTCTTGGTGGCTGTGCCGCGCGACTTGGCACTGGGCGCCAGGCAGCAAGCAACAACAGCCGCACAGGGCGCCAGCACAGGCGCAGGTGCCGACGGCTGCAGCCCTGCCATCGCCGAGGGTGGCACCGCAGCTGGGGCCAGCGGCGGGCCAGAGGCAGCGCCATGTGAGAATGCATCAGGGCGGGGCTTGCCAGCGCCCTGTCACGACACAGTTGCAGCTCAGCCCCCGGCTCCGCAGTTCTTCATCAGCCTGGGTCCATCCAGGGAGCTGCAGGAGCGCCACCTGGCGGTGGGCCACGTGCTGGCCGGCTTTGGCGCCCTCAGAGAGGCAGCCGCTGCCACCCAGGAGGCGCGCGCCCTGCAGGAAGCCGACGCGCTGCGCCGCCGCCGCGACGGCATCTCCGAGGCGCCCGCGGTGCCCGCAGCGCCGTCGTGCCGCGTCGTCGCGTGCGGGCAGCTGGCCCCCGGCCGCGCCCCTCCCGGGGTGGACCCCGTGATGCTGGGGTCGTGGCCGGCGTGGCCCGAGGACCTGGCGGCGCCGTCGCCCCCCAACATGGACGCGGAGGCGCAGGCGCGGCTGGCCATGGCTGTGGGCATCAAGGCTGCTGGCAACGCAGCGCACAGGGCAGGCAACCTCGAGCTGGCTCTGGCGCACTACCGGCAGGCCATCAGGTGCGAACTGCGGCTTTCAGCCAATGTCACTTTCTGGCATACGCATGTCCCCCGCTCACACTAATCTCATAATCCTGAGCCAGCCAACCAGTGTGACACGCCGCCCACCCAATCGGCCGTCGCATTCGCCTTGACAACCCGCTCTTCAGGTACCTGGAGCTGATATCATTCCAGAGCGACCTGCTGGACCCCTCCGCCAGCACAAACATCTCATACGAAACCAGCCTGCCCATGTGGGAGACTGAGGTGCGCCAGGCTGGGAAGGCGGGGGCGCCTTACACGTGGCGGCGTTCTGGCCAGAGAGAGTGAGGGGGTTGGTGGGGGTGTTGAGGGCGTGTGAGCAGTACCAGAAGATCTTGCGCCGCAATGGAACTGTCCTTGGTTGTACGTCCCCTCCAGCTTCCACTAACACCCCCCCCCCACGCCACCTGCAACCCCCTTCCGTCCATCCTTCCTCTACTGCGCTGGCCCTGGCCTTCAACCCACCCTCCTCCTCCTTGTACCCGTGCCTTTGCCACCACCGCGCTGCCCCCCGCCCCTCCCCCTCCCCAGCTGGCGCTGCGGCTCAACCTGAGCGCCACACTGACTGCGCTGGACCGCGGCGCAGACGCCGTCGAGGCGCTGCGCGAGCTGCGGCACAAGGTGCCCAGCAACCCAAAGGTAAGGGGGCAGGGGCAGTTCGAGGCGCGCTTGCAGCTCAAGGTCAAGGCCATGCTCATGAGGACTGCGTTCTGGCATCACCTCGGGACTCCCCACGGCCTCCATGCAGTGAAGACAGCCCCCTGGCAGCCGCCTGCCTCGAGCAACCACTCGGCTGCCCTCCACAACCCCTTGCGTCTGATCAGATGTGGTACCGCCTGGGCCAGGCACTGGCGGCCCAGGGCCCCAGCTCCCTGCACGAAGCGCTGGAGGCGCTGGAGAAGGCGGCCGCGCTGGCACCCAGGGATCCAGGTCCGGCTCGCACAGGGGGGGACTGGGTGCACGCTGATGGCTGCTCTGCTGGGCTTCACGGACGCCCATGTTTAGCCGACCACCCGCATACGAGATTTGCAGGCCAGCGTGTGCAAGTTCAGAGCATTACCTGCACCCCGCGCCCCTTTGTCGCAGGTGTGCATGCGTCGCTTGATTCAGTGCGCGGCCGCATCGCGCGCAGCCAGGGCGCCACCAAGGACGAGGTCGGCCGCGGCCTGGCGCGCGCGTTTAGGGGCGGCCTGCTGTACCAGGGGGAGGAGGGCAGCAGCGCGGCAGAGGCGCCCGCTGGCGCTGGCGCTGGCACCGGCAGGGGCGCGGGTGGTCCCAGTGTGCCTGAGGAGGTGGCGGCTGAGCTGGTGGGGCGCCACCTGGGCCTGCACGTCCTGAGGGGCGCGGCGGGGCCGGACGGCGGCCTGCCGCCCGGCGTGACCGACCCCGTCGCTCACATGATGAGCGCGTGGTTCCAGCCGAGGGTGGGGGGGTGACGCGGCGTGTGCGGCACGACACGTGAGCGGTGCGGCGTGTATGGTGCTGGAAATGTGTGCTTTGTGCTGTGTGTGCCCAGTATCCAGCGTGATACTGCTTGGCGCCGCAGCGTGCTGGCAAGACGGCGTGCTGGCTGGCGCTAATGGATGCAAGGTCTACCTCACTTTGGTACTCTTGGTTGGTCCTCGTGTCCTCCCAAACGCGTTGGCTCGGCGTGTTTTGTGTGTTGCGCTTGCGTGTCTGCCCCTGTAGAGATGTGTGTAAGCGAGCAAGTTGACCACAAGCCTACATACCAGGCCGACAACAGTCCAACCAGGCATGAATGCTGCCGACACACGCAAGGAGCTCAGCTGGGCAGGTGCTGCCTGGGGTCACTGCAAGGGTGTTTCTTACTCAACCTGGGTGCTGGACAAATGCAGCTAAAGCGAGCCTGAACAATAGACGTGGATGTCACATGACTATGTATCATGCTATATGACACCTGCCTGGTCGCGCTGGCTGTAATTTGCAAGATCACGCAGACTCGTTCCGTACGTGCAGCTATGTCAATGATCCACTCCTGATACCACGACAGCGCAGTCATTGTTGCAAATCCTGCAAGCCGCCCGCAAGGCAGCGCCGCACTGCCCATCTGACGGCTGCCGCTGTCGTGCCGCAGTCAAGTCCTCCCAGTGGAGTGCCAGTCGCCCAAGCCGGCTGTTGCTTATCGTTTGCGGTCACGGACTTGGCAGCGCCCTCACCAAGGACATTCAGTGCTCTGAGGGGCTGGAACAGGACTGCAGCTGGCGCCGCTGAGTGACCGTATCGTGAGGAGGTCGCGGCGCAGAGCAGCTGACCGTCTGCTGCTCAGCGATGCGCCTAAATGCCGACACCACCATCGTGGGGCAGCGCGTCGTGCTGGTGCCCTACCGGCACGAGCACGTGCCCCGTTACCACACTTGGATGCAGTCGCCGGAGCTGCAGGCACGTGCTGCGGTGCATGCCGCCCTTGCTGTGCATGCGGCCCTTTGCGCTTTTGTTCCGCCTGAGGAGAGGTGTCTCACGGGCCATGCGCCCCTTAGGAGGTCCTTATAGTTGTGCTGCACCCCCCAGCCCCCTCCTCATGACACCATGTGCCCACTGCCAAACGCGCTCACATCCAGCACACGCTCCCACACGACCCCCATCGCAGGAGCTGACGGCCTCTGAGCCGCTGTCCCTGGAGGAGGAGTATGCCATGCAGGCGGCCTGGGCACACGACCCCGACAAGCTGACGTACATCCTGCTAGACCCAGCGCGGCCGCCAGCCCCAGAGCAGGAAACGTGGCCCCCTGGCGGTCGTGCCGGGGCGATGGCTGGCGACGGTGAGGCGGCGATGCGGGCGCATGGGGATATGGGGTGATGCTGACAGTTGCGTGCATGACGCAGCATTGTACTGCTGCTGGGATGCAGATATTGCTTCACAACAGATGGCTACAACGCCAAAGCAAATAATGCTGCCTGCGTCACCCTCCATCTGCCTGCACCCCCCGCCCCCAAACTGCCTCCAGTGAACCTGTTCTTGAACGACCCCGACGACAGGCTCGCCGGGGAAGTGGAAATCATGGTGGCGGAGCCAGAGAGCAGGTGCGCTGTTTATTTCCGAGTAGAACGGCGGTTGAGAGGGCAAAGCATCAGTCACTGGCAGGCCCAAGCATCACAGGGCAGCCCCCAGCTGCAGGCGCAAATTTACCGTTGAGCAATGGAGCCCTGGGAGTCTTCCGCCCGACACCAGCGAGGCTAACACTGCGCCACAGCCACCAATCTTTGCTTACATCCAGGCGCAAGGGCATGGCGTGCGAGGCGCTACGGCTGTTCATGGCATATGTAGTGCGCGAGCTGGGTGTGACGCGTTTCATAGCCAAAATCGGGGAGGACAACGCCCCCTCCCTGGCGCTGTTTGAAGGGCAGCTGGGCTTCAAGGAGGTCCGTCGCGTGCAGGTGGGAGCCTCTTTTGGGAGGGCGCACAAGCGTGCAGGCGCGCGTGTGCGCGTGTGTCTGTGTTTGTGTGTGTGTGTGTGTGTGTGTGTGTGTGTGTGTGTGTGTGTGTGTGTGTGTGTCTGTGTCTGTGTCTGTGTCTGTGTCTGTGTTTTGTTTGTTTGTGAGTTTGTGTGTGTTTGTGTCTGTGAGTTTGTGTATGAGTGTGTGTGTGTGTGTGTGTGTGTGTGTGTGTGAGAGAGAGAGAGAGAGAGAGAGAGAGAGAGAGAGAGAGAGACACACACACACACACACACAGAGAGAGAGACACAACATCCGGGAGTGTGTCAGTAGGGGCAGGGCGGGCAGAGGTACCCCCACAATCACAATCACAATCACAACCTCCTTGGCATTCTCAGTCCGTCTTGTGTTTGTCCGCCCTTTCAACTTCGCTGTGCCCGACCTGCAGGTGTTCAAGGAGGTTCACCTGGAGCTGTCGGTGCAGGGGCACGTGGCAACACAAATGGCAGCACTGGCGGACGAGCTGCAGTTGCATAGTTATGATTCAGCCTGATATGCATTTTGTGAAGTTCATGACATTCTGGCTGCACGTGATCCTTTGATCTGCAACGTTGAAAGGTATTTCGCGACCTGTTGCTCTTGCTCACGCGACACGACAGCTGTGCAGCTGCCACGGCTCTGCGATGAAAACAAGGACCACTACTTACAACACACCGTAAAACCAGTGCGTAAAAGCGGAGCGAAATACGCTGCTGCTAAGGAAACCTGTCCAGTCCCACCAAACCGATGCAAGCGCGCACACTCGCGGACCCTCTGTGCTGCACAACACGACACCACCCTCGCAAGAGAGAGAACGCTCGACACTGTGGCAGAGGGCCGCCTGGCGCAAGGGCAACACAGGACGGCACTGCTCCCGCGCTTGCCGCCACTCATCATCACTCCATAGCTTAGGCAGGGGGCCCCCCCGCAATACACGGGTGCAGGCCTCACGAGCTTACGCAGCAGGGCAAAAAAGGGGACGAGGCCGCGTACAGCACAGAAGAAAGGGATGTGTCAGACCGCAAACCAGACCAAGCCACCCAAACAACCCCTCCCAAACCCCAGCGCAACATGCTCTGCCGGTGCAAGGTCCACTGAGATCTTGGGCGCTCCACTACTGGTTGCCCCTGCCCAGCGCGTTGAGCTGCAGGGCACGCCCCCCAGCTAACACGACCAACCGGCATCGCCGCTCTGTCGTGCACTGTTTACTCCACACCCTGGATGGGTTGATGGACGGGCAGGTGGGTCGATGGGGGTTAGTGGGGTAGTGAGTGACAGAGTTTGGAGGATGCTCATTCCCAGACGAAACTGGTACTGTGCAAAGAGGCCGAGAGCAGGCGCGTTGCAATGCAGCATTGATGGCTGTGTTTGGCAGGCCGCGAATGCGGCACTCCCTGCTTGTTGCACCCAGGTGCCCCCAGTCACCTCGATCTTGTCCTCAACGTCCATGTAGAGCTGGCGCAGCCTCTCAATCTGTGCATGCGGGTGAGGGTGGGCAGTAGTGCGTTGGAGCAAGGCCGAAAGGAGCGCAGCGGGTACGAGGCAGTTGAGTTTTTGAGTCAGTGTCATGCGCTTGACTGCCTCCTGCTTGCTGGGGATCCCAGCACAAAGCCAGGCGCAATCCCAAATGAACCCCACCTTCTCAGGGTCGGCCTCCCAGTAGCCGCGGCCGTTGGCCTCCAGGAAGGTGGCCACCAGCTTGCGGAAGCTGCAGCAGGGATGGAGTGCGACGGAGGGTTCAGGTGTTGAACAGATAGTGACCAGGTGCAAATTGGCTGGCTCCGGGGTGATCCACAGCCGCTGCTGCAGGTGAGCAGCATCTGTGAGAAAGGTGCAGGCAGCGGCTCCATACTCGTGCTTAATTCCATCATTCTCAGCACCTGCCCAGCGCCGAAGCCCGCTCCCATGCACCTGTTGGGGTTCGCCTCCATGAGGCGCGCCGCCATCTCGGGGTCCTCAATGAACGTCGAGTTGGCCTCGTCGTACACCCAGTTGTCCACCTGGCCGCTGGTCGCGCTCCAGCCCATGGTGTTGGTCAGGCGCTTCTGGATCTCGCGCACGCCCTCGTAGCCGGAGGACATCATGCCCTCGTACCACTTGGGGTTGAGCAGCTTGGTGCGCGCGTCCAGGCGCACCGTCTCGCCCAGGGTGCGCACCTGCACGGGGGTTGATCAAGGTCGAGGGCAGGGTCGAGGGGCGGTGGCGGAGGCAGAGGTGCGGGCACAAGGGCCAGCAGGCCTGCTCATGTTCACGGAGGAAGTTCTGCCAGGGCGGATGCAGGCATGATCCGCCACCAGCAACCAGAGTGCGTCACCGACCGCCCAAACCCCGATGCCGACCTGCGCGTTGGCGGTGGTGGTGTCGGCGATGTAGGAGGAGGGCGCCTTGCCGTCCGTGCGCAGGCCCTGCACCAGCTTGGTGGGGTCGCTGTCAAAGTAGTGGCTGACGTCGGTGAGGCTGATCTCACTGCTGTCCAGGTTCTGGAACGTCACGTCCACCGTCTTGAGAGCGCGCTCAAAGATGTCGCGCCCCTCCTCGCCGCCGGCGCCGGGGCGGTCGCTGTTGAAAGCGAAGGACTTGCGCTTGAGGTACATCTCCTGCAGCTGGCTCTCGTCGCTCCAGGAGCTGTTCTCGACCGCCAGGTTGACGTTGCTGCTGTAGGAGCCGCTGCTGTTGCTGAACACGCGCGTCGCCGCGTCGCGCAGGTTCATGCCCATCTCCGCGGCCTGCTGCTTGGCGTGCTTGCGCACAAAGTTCATCTCGTCGGGCTCGTCCTGCTCGGCCGCCATCTTGATGGCCCTGTGGTGGTGTTTGTGAGGAGGGGAGAGAGGGGGCATTGAGCGGGAGGGCGGTCAGCACCAGCCGGCTGAGAGGGGGGGATGCTAGGCGCCGCAGGGCCCTGCATCTGCTTGACAGGCGCATGGCTGCTTGACCAGACCATGCCCTCTCAACTGTCACCCTCGCTGGACAGTCTGCTGCCCGGACTCCTGTCTCATCTCATCACGAGCACCGCTGAAGCCCCAGAAAGTGCAACAACCAGGGACACTTTTGCACCCCCCCCCACCCCCCACCCCACACACATACCCTCTGTCCCGGCCGTCACCTGTCGAGCAGCAGCATCTGGTTGACGAAGAGGTCGCGGAACACGCCGGAGCAGTTGACCACGACGTCCACGCGGGGGCGGCCCAGCTCCTCCAGGGGGATCACCTCCAGCTTGTTCACGCGGCCCAGGCTGTCGGCCACGGGCTTCACGCCCACCATCATCATCACCTGCGCCAGGCTCTCGCCATAGGTCTTGATGTTGTCGGTGCCCCACAGCACCAGGGCGATGGTCTCGGGCCACTTGCCGCCGTTGTTGTCCTTCTCGCGCTCCAGCAGGCGGTCCACGATCAGGCGCGCGCTCTTCAGGGCGGCCTGTGCAGGAGGCCGGGTTGAGAGGACGGTGGGAGGTCAGGTGATGGTGACAATAGATTTGGAGGGCCCGGGTCCAGGGCCAAGGCGTGGCACAAAGATAGTGAACGCCGGCGCTGGCATGCTTGGGCCGACGGGACCATGTAGGCCAGTCGCTCCCCCCCCCCCCACCACTCCAGGCGGGCGCCCCAAACATCACTGCAAGCGTCGACGGGTGCAGGGTGCTACTGTGTGCCCTCACCCCCACCTGGGTGGGGATGGACTGGGGGTCCAGGGCGTGGATGTTCTTGCCGGTGGGCAGCACAGAGGGGTTGCGGATGGGGTCGCCACCGGGGCCGGGCTCGGTGTACTGGCCGTCCAGCGCCTCAGTGAGCGCGCCCAGCTCGTTGTCCTTCACCACCTGGGGTTGAGCGAGGAGGAGCCAGGGGGCAGCACAGTCCAGGGCAGGTGTGAGGGGCAGGACAGGGTGGGGCAAAGATGCGGGGCATTGTTGGTTGATGCCGTGAGGCTGTGCTCCAGCCAAAATCGCCCTGAGCAGGTCCACAACTCAGAAAAAGCAGGCGCGAACACCGCCTTGCACTCAGCAGGCACGAGGGATCTCCAGGCATAAACAGTGTGAAGCGATCCCCTCTGAAGGGACCCACACAAACACGCAGCCGGCGCCCCCCACCTGCTCCAGGCAGAACTCCAGGTACTTAAAGAGGGTCACCAGCTCCAGGCGGTCAGCGCTCCTGAACTCGCTGGTCTGCAGCGCGCGCACCCAGGGGTCCACGTAGAGCCCCGTGAACTTGACCAGGGTCGTCAGGAAGTTGGTGCCGATGCGGCCGTCGAAGCCTGGGAGGAAGGGGGGGGAGGTCGGTGACAGGTGCGGGGGCGCAGGAGGGTGGCACATCTGTAGGCCGATCCATAGGGCTTTGGCTGACATTGCAGCAGTAGCACCAGCTGCCGGAAGCAAGGGCGCTGTGCGCATGGGCGCGCTCGCGCCCTTGTAAGAGTGCGGCCTCACCGGTGCGGTCGCGCACGAACTCGCGCACGCAGTTGCGGGAGGCCTCCGTGATGCGCTGCAGCAGGTCGACGTCTGCCAGCACGCCCTTGTTGCTGCCGAGGTAGACCTCCTCGATGTTGCGGCCGATGGCCTTGGCCAGGATGGAGGGCAGGCCCACGAT